CTAAAATAAATTTCCATATAAAAATACTTACTTACTTAAAACTGCTACACTGAAAATAATCCATGCTTAATATATAAAATTATTGCATTAAATTTATACATTCATTACTGCGATCATAACCACAATATTAAAATTAAACTTCTAATAAAAATAACTATAAAATTAATAAAAAAAAGTCCATGATTAATTACTTGTATTTCCGATGTAATTAATATATTTACATTCTTAATAATAATTCAAAATACTCCAAATGATGGACATTCATTTGAAAGAGTAATTACAATTATAAACCTGTTGTCATATAGGGGAACTCATATGGAAACGAGACTCAAATATGACCCGATGTTGAGCAAACCTTTCAATATAATGTCTGGGAGCACTAAACAAAGTTTTTCAAAATTTTATCACGATTTTTTTTAAATTTATGGCTTTTTTTCGAGCGAACATTTATATGAGGACTAGATGAAATCTTATCGATCTATATTATCTATTTTCAAGACAACTCTCTGCGGACCCATCGTTTTTTGCTACAGGCAGACATACGGACATGTCTTGATCGTCTTCGAATATATAGTTTTATGTGTCCATTTTTTAAACTTTTATTATTTATTTTTCAAAATTTCACATAAATCCAGTTTATTTTTTTCATGTGACAACATTACATAGTGTTGTCGTACGTATGTATATACTTTGACAACGGATGTTATTGAAAAATTATAAACTCTTTGGTGTCAATTTGGTACCAGGCGTGTATATTTCCTTTTCCCTCTGTGTAGATCAACAGAAAAACTTACATGACCACCCAAAACACTTACAATCATACAGCCAATTCCAAAAATCAATTGAAATAATTTCATTACTCTTTGAAAGATGACTTCTTACGTTTATTTTAAATACTGTTATAGTTTGTTATAATAACTATTGTTTATATACAATTAAAAACAATTACAAGAAAATAATAACTGAATTAACTCCATAAATAGCTGTTCGAAACTTAACTTAACTTTTTGATCTTCTTATGAAAATCTTTGGTCCCTTTGAGTTCCAAACACCTTTATGTAATAGATTAGTTACTAGTGTAGTTCGTAATGAATACCAATCGGATTTTAAGCTATTCGCCCCCGCAATGTTTTCTACAACGGCGAGTTCCGAAACTGCACTTCAAAACGACGAACAGCACCTCTAAGGGATTTGAGTCAGGATATTTTGATGAGCAATCATAGAGTTTGGGTCCTATTACCTGATAACAACTCTTATATCACCTTGGCAAAAGGTTTTGGTTCATTATCATGCTGAAAATCGCAATAAAGTAAGTTGTTCTGTTCGGTGTACTCAATCATATGATTCCTTTTGTTGGAAAAAAAAAACGTCCCAAAAGGAAAAACAATCCAACTTTATTTGTGTTTCAACATCAGGACTAACTCTTCTCTTCAAAAAACGTGGCCACAGCCTTAAATTTTTGCTCTCCATTCATTATTGGGCCTTTACTAAAACTGTTTTTATTAGTCTTGCGTAATCTATTTCTATTTCTATTTCAATATTCTACCCAAAATTGTACAAAATTTGTAAAAAAAATCGAATTTCTTTAAGTAAACTCTGTGCCATGTCACTGCGGGATTCATATGCGGTTACATCATCGTACATTAAAGACTTAAATTAAGGTTGTGGGCAATATTTTTAGTAAGTAGAGTAAGTCCTGATGTTGAAATACAAATAAAATTGGATTGTTTTACTTTCTGGGACATTTTTGGCCAACAAAATGAACCATAGGATTAAGTACATTGAACAGAACAACTTACTTTATTGCGATTTTCAGCATGATAATGAACCAAAACCTTTGGCAAAGTTGATCTAAGAGTAGTTATCGTATAATGGGACCCAAATTCTTTGATTGTCCATCAAAATCTCCTGACTCAAGCCCCTTAGAAATGCCATTCGGCATTCTGAAGCGCTGGGTCGAAACTCGCAGTTTTAGAAAACATTACAGCTGGCGAATGGCTTAAAATCCGATTGGGATTCATTACGAACTACACTTGTAACTAATCTATTCCATAAAGGTGTTTGGAACTCAAAAGGACCAAAGATTTTCATAAGAAGATCAAAAAGTTGCTTAAGTTTCGAACAGCTATTTATGGAGTTAATTTAGTTATTATTTTCTTTTATTTTGGTAACGAAAGTTTTTGCTGGGTATATAATTCTAAGTAGATGTAAGCTTAGTCAGTCATCATAATCACCATATAAATATTTTCTAATAAATAGTTAGTCAACTCAACTCTGCGTGATGTAATGGCCAGTGAAACTAGACAAATTACTGGCCATTTACACTGTGCGCATAAACGTTACCCTTAAGAGAGTAATTTACATATGTTCGTATTAAAATCTTATTTAGGCTGATTACACTTTTTTGTACATGGTTCTGCCGGTGGGTAAGGTACGTTCATTCATCCTACATTCATCCCGTATCTTATACACTTAATGCCAACACATTTCCAAAGCTTAGTGCAATAGTCACCCCTCTGTGGCGTATCTGTTTTCTCGGCAACAGCACCGAACTTATCCCGAATTGTAGACTTAACCGCGCATTAGTCTTTTAACTGACATTCTCGACAGTCTCTATTAACCGAGACACGACGAAGTCTGCGGTGCGGGCTACCGGTTCCCGTGGTACCAGATTATGTGGTTCTCTGGTTTGACCCCATGTCAAATCATTCAAAGAAAAGGCCTAGGATACATTTGAACATCACTAGTTTATAGTCCCGGCAGACTAGAGGTACTGGTAGCACTTCTTTCCCCCAAGATTGCAATAACACCAAGATGAGGATCTTTAATCAACGGAACATGCCCCGGGGGGGATTAAATAGTAAAGTAAAGGTCCTCTTAAAGTCCACTATTAACAATAAAGGATGAGGTGGTAAACGGAAAATTATTATATAGAAGTTATCGACTCGCAAGAAGACAAATTTTTGGAGGGCTATAATTGAAACCATACAAATATTCAAAATTTCCGAAGGCAATAAATTTTCGAAATAAGTTTAAGACTAATTGGAACCTTACTAAGGGATCATTTATATCAAAATAGAAAGTGTATATAGAACTGGAAAGCCTCCAATATCTGGGAACGGCTAACATGTTTAAAAATAGAATTATGGACAGAGACCTCAAATAAAAGCTACATGATTATGTAAAGGGTAGATCAGTGAAAGCAACGTTAAATGAGGTTGATGATTAAATAGATAAATCTCTGATAACAAACTGTATATATACACTTGCAATCTGTATAGAGATCGAAGGTGCTTTCAATAATGTACAAACTGACTCTCATATTCAATCCTTATACCAGTTCCAAATTGACGCGTGTTCCTTGACTTAATGAACCATATATATATAAATACATGTCAGGAAACCTCTTCACAAGGAAGAGGAAAATTCTTGCCTAAACTGAATCCCGGTTTTTAGTCTGAACCATGTATATAAGTGTCTAGCAGGTTTCTATACCTATGTATATACCAGACCTGGGATAAATGCATTAAATGTGTTAATGCATTAACAATTTTTTCTACATTAAAAAAAATTAATGTTAATGCAAGTTTATTGCATTAACATTAACATGGGTACATTTAATGCATTAAATTTGCATTAACATTAAATATTTTTAAATTTAATGCATTAATTTTACATTAACATTAAATATTTGTGAAATTAATGCATTAATTTTGCATTAACATTAAATATTTTTGAATTTAATGCATTAATTTTTCATTAACATTAAATAATAAAAAATAAAATTAATGCATTAATTTTCCATTAACATTAATGTATAAAATAATTTATAAAAATAAGAATACAGCGCTAAAGACCTCGGTCTAACTAAATTCAAGTAAAATTGAATGTGTTAAAGTCCTTTCTAATAATTCCTATACTCGATAATACATATTAGAAGAATAGTATCACTTCCCAGATATTCCTTTTTTAGTTTATTTTGTTAAAGTCCTTTCGAATAAGTCCTATACACGATAATACTTATTAGAAGAATAGTATCACTTCCCAGATATTCCTTTTTTAGTTTATTTTGTCTGTGGAATCTTATATAAATATCATATTTAAAACACACAAGTTTGAATGGAATATAGGAGTTATTAGAAAGGACTTTAACCTATTTAATTTTAGTTGTATTTAGTTAGATCGAGGTCTTTTGTGTTGTATTTTTATTTATGTTTATCAATTTTTATATATATTAATGTTAATGGAATATTAATGCATTAATTTTATTGCTTATTTAATGTTAATGTAAAATTAATGCACTAAATTCAGATATATTTAATGTTAATGCAAAATTAATGCATTAATTTCAAAAATATTTAATGTTAATGTAAAATTAATGCATTAAATTCAAAAATATTTAATGTTAATGGAAATTTAATGCATTAAATTTTACAAACTTAATGTTAATGCAATATTTTTTACATTAAATTAATTTTTTTTTAATTTAATGTTAATGCAAAATTAATGGAAATCGCCCAGGTCTGGTATATACACATGGAAAATAGAATAGAAATCTCATATACGCTAAAGGACCTCTGGTAGAAGAGCCATAGGTCTGAAATGTGGTCTTTAATTATTACGGTCCACTGTTACATAGATATACGTAAAGCGACTTAATTCGACTATGAATTCGAAATGAACAGACATGAAACATGTAAACTTTTTTGTAATGGATCGAGTAACAATTTAACAAGTTTTTAACGATTATAAATATAATACATTTTTCAGCCCCATGACAACTACTTTTCTTGAAATTCGTAATGCTAAATGTAATTAAATAAATACGCATATTCTAAGTAATTGACTTTATAAGTGTAAAAATAAAATTAGTTTTAAAAATATTTATATCTATAATGTGGTTTATTATAAATTCACATTAACTATAGATTTTTATTTCAAAAAAGACTTCATTATTCTCGTACAAATAAATACATAAGTTCCACATAAACGGTATAAATAGGCATGTCAATGCAAAACTTTTAACAGATCAGCGTAGAGCACTGTCATCAAAAGTTCTTTTGCAACATGAAATTATTTCAAGTGATATTTGCTATTTCCTGTGTTATTGCCCTTGCTATGGCATATCCTGGTCATGTAAGTTTATATACAATAAATTAATGATTTAGGTAATAACTCCCATACTTTAATTTGAATAACGAATTTAAATTTTACAGAATATAATTAAAGGAGATAACAATAGTGGAAATAAACAGAAGAATGCTGATGGCAGCATCAGTTTATGGGGCTAATTAACTGATAATATTGGAAAGAACATAACGAAAGCAGAATTTTGGAATCCAATAATATTTGGAATTGTTAATATAAATAAATGTGTTATTAGAAAATCTCCAATCGTAACATATTTTGAAAGGATTTTCTTATTTATTATAATTATTAAAATAGTAAAGAAAATAGGTCGATATCTCTTACAGATTAACGGTACCTGAGATTTGAAATATGAGGATTTCGAAGGATTTTGATAATATTTTTATATCCACCATCAAAAAAGATGGGGGGTATATTGTTTTTGTCATTCCGTTTGTAACACATTGAAATATGCGTCTAAGACCCATAATTTATGGGCCATAAAAGTATATAAGACGATCTAGCCATGTCCGTCTGTCTGTCTGTCTGTTGAAAACACGATAGAGTCCAAATGGAAGCGAGCTGAACTAGTTCTAGTCGATGCGGTTTGTTTGGTATTGAAAATGGGAAATATCGGTCCACGATTTCGCCTAGCCCCCCCTATAAGGCCCCCTTCAGAAATTTACTTTATCGCTCATAACTGGCTAAAAGAAGCATCAATTGATTTGAAATTCGGCACAAACATGTTTTATGGGAACTTAAATTTCTTTGTAAAATTTTATATGGATAGACCCATAATTGACCCTACCGACCATATAAAGTCCCCTTCAGAAAATGACTTTATCGCCCATAACTGGCTGAGATAAACATCAATAGCGGTGAAATTTTGCCACAAACATGTTTTATGGGAATTGAAATCATTTCGTAAAATTTTATAAGGATCGGTTCATAATAGACCCTACCCCCATATAAGGTCCCCTTCAGACTTTAATGACTTTAATGCTCATATCTGACCTTAAGAAACATATATATAGCAATGAACTTTGACATAAAAAAGTTTTATAGAAACTAAAATCATTTTCTTAAACTTTATGAGGTTGGGTCCATAATTGACCCTACCCCCCATATAAGGTCCCCTTCAGAAAATGACTTTAAGGCTTATTACTGACTCACAAATGTGAGTACAGCGGTAAAATTTTACATAAACATGTTTTGTGCGAGCCAAAAGCTCTCTATGAATTTGTATAAGAATCGGTCCTTAATTAACCCTATCCCCCTTGTAAGGTCGCCTTCAGAAAATGACTTTAACGTTCATTACTAGCTTAAAAATGCGAGTACAGCAACATAAACAAGTTTCATATTAGCCAAAATCTCTCTACTAAATTTTATGAGGATTAGTCTGTAATTGACCCTAAACCCCTATAAGGTCCCCTCCAGAAAATGACTTTAACGCTCATTACTGACTCAAAAATGCAATTACAGCAGTGAAATTCTACATAATCAAGTTTTGTGCTAGCCTAAAACTCTTTATCAAATCTTATCGGGATCGGTCTATAACTGACCCCACCCTCCATATAAGGTCCCCCTCAGATAGTGACTGTAAAGCTCGTTACTGGCTGTAACGCTCAAATACGACTACAGCGATGAAATATCACATAAACAAGTTTTGTATTAGCCCCTATCCTACGCCCCAATTAAGGTCCCCATTAGAAAATTACTTTAAAGCTGATTACTGAATTAAAGATACGAGTACAGCGACACTAGACAAAAATAATTATTGTATAAACCGAAGAGGATAGGCCCATAATTGACTCTACCCTCCATATAACCACTTTTACAAAAAAAACAGTATATGATTATAAATATTGGATCAAACAAAATTAATATTTTTAATTCGGAAGAGCACGGTCCATGCTAAGGCCTTTATTAAAGGCCCTCTTCTAAATATTTACCTGATGTTCATATTAATGTCGACATCTGATTCGACATAGATCGATAATATCAAAGTTTATTAATACGGGTGGTTTGATGGTGGATATATAAGATATATAATAATTTTATAAATTTTCTCACAATATTTTCTCGATATTTTTTTTTAAATATATAAAGTTTTTTATATAAAACTTCCTTTATATATAAACTAAATATTTAATGATATTTTGCGAGAAAATTGTGGGTTATAGAGAAAAACTGACATAATATCCGGTTTCAGCAGCTAAAAATACATTAAAATCGGTCGAATTTCGTTGGCCTGTGTTATTTATGGAATTTATGAACAAGTCTAGTTATAAGTCCGTTAACAGATTAATTTGAAGTTAGTGGTCTGTGACCTCATTAGAAAACGATTAATCACTTTTGATTAGTTTTTCTAACCACATAGTTTTCACCTACAGGTAGCAATAGCTAAAATGAATTACATGTGAAAGGTTTTTTATAAATCGCGTTTTAAGATTTATACTAAAACATAAATTTGTTTTAAACTTAAGTCGTGGCAACATCGAAAAACATATTCCATATTCAGGACCGATATGTTACAAGTTATCAAAAATTTTACTCTAACAAAGTAAATAATATAAACGAGATTTTTAAAGCCCGTAAATGATGTTGACATTATAAACATTCTACTGTATAGAATATAGTATATAATCGGAATATAGTATACAGAAAAACTATAGCAGTACTATAGTTAATCTTAAGACGACCTGTGAAAGCTGTAAAAATATTAAATAATAAAATGAAACTATTTCAAGTTATATTCGCAATTGGCTGTGTAGTTGTCGGTGTTTTGGGTGCACCCGGCCATGTAAGTAGTTCTGTTTAAGTGAATAATATAAAATAATTTTATTAATTACAGAATATCATTAAAGGAAATAACAACTCAGGTATAAAACAATCGAATAGTGATGTTGGATTAGATCTCGAAGTTCCACTGAAATTATAAAAGTATTTTTTTTTAAGTTTTTAGGCTTAATTTCAATGTAAATGTAAAATTTATTTTAAATGATTATAGAATGAGCAATACTTAATAAATAATTTGTTTTATTTTTTGAAAATGTGAAAGAATATAATGATTTTCAGAACTTTTGAACTTTGAGCTTAAATTGTTGATATGTACTTTAAAGGATTGATTTTATTTTATTCACTATTTTCGGACTTTTTATACCCTACACTTTGCGTTTTGCTGATGTTTGTAACACCCAAAAATATTGATCCTACACCTTCCTTAAAGCATACCAATCGGCTCAGAATCACTTCCTGAGTCGATTAAGCTATGTCCGTCTGTCCATGTAAACCTTGTGCGCACTACAGGACGCATTTTTTGAGATAATTTGATTAAATTTGGAACCTGCGCTTCTACAACTACACTTGTTAATATAATAGTCATAGACGAATATAATACTTCCAGTTGGACAGATTTTTATTGACGACATGTACATATGTATATTAGAATTCTCCCACAAAACGAAGTATTAGCCTTAGAGTATTATAGTCCAGATAATATTAAACATATATATCAGAATTTTTATTAATATAGGACATTCTTAACTCTAAAACTGTGGAGTTGAAAGGTCAAATTTTACAATATTTGGGAATTCTTAGTGTACCATATCGAAATAATATTTATTTGTCGGCCATATTTACCAAAAATAAGTGGAATTTATCGTATATAGTCCGATATTTAAAATAGAGTGAAAAAAAGGTAGATTAACCTGGGAACAATTTAACACCAAAGTTCAAAAATTCAAAAAAAAATCACTATCTATTTGAAGAATGCTCTATATAATTAGAGGAATAACAAAAATAAAACACAAATTTCTATATTAAGTATAAAAAATTATGCTTTAAACCTTTTGCAATAAATTTCAAAATTTATTACTAAATGGCCAAATTTGAGCAAAAACTGAAAAATTCGATTTTTTTCCTTTGTAAACTTCAGAGCCGTTGCGGCACTTGTTAACGTTATCCTATCAGCCTAATTTTTTGTATGACATAGTTTTACAATCCAAAGAACAATTCTAGAGGGGGTACGGCCTGTCAGACAAATTTTTTTCCCTTCATACAAGCTTGAAAAAAAGTTAGCTAGTTCGTTAGTTCTCTAGTTCGTAAGCTAGTTCGTTTTTTTAGTTCGTAGTTAGCTAGTTAGTAGTTAGTTAGTTAGTAGTCAGTTAGTTAGTTAGTAGTTAGTTAGTTATTTAGTTAGTTAGTTAGTTAGTTAGTAGTAGTTAGTTAGTTAGTTAGTTAGTTAGTAGTTAGTTAGTAGTTAGTTAGTTAGTTAGTTAGTTAGTTAGTTAGTGTTAGTTAAGTTAGTTAGTTAGTTAGTTAGTTAGTTAGTTAGTAGTTAGTTAGTTAGTTAGTTAGTTAGTTAGTTAGTTAGTTAGTTAGTTAGTTAGTTAGTTAGTTAGTTAGTTAGTTAGTTAGTTAGTTAGTTAGTTAGTTAGTTAGTTAGTTAGTTAGTTAGTTAGTTAGTTAGTTAGTTAGTTAGTTAGTTAGTTAGTTAGTTAGTTAGTTAGTTAGTTAGTTAGTTAGTTAGTTAGTTAGTAGTTAGTTAGTTAGTTAGTTAGTTAGTTAGTTAGTTAGTTAGTTAGTTAGTTAGTTAGTTAGTTAGTTAGTTAGTTAGTTAGTTAGTTAGTAGTTAGTTAGTTAGTTAGTTAGTAGTTAGTTAGTTAGTAGTTAGTTAGTTAGTTAGTTAGTTAGTTAGTTAGTTAGTTAGTTAGTAGTTAGTTAGTTAGTTAGTTAGTTAGTTAGTTAGTTAGTAGTTAGTTAGTTAGTTAGTTAGTTAGTTAGTTAGTTAGTTAGTTAGTTAGTTAGTTAGTTAGTTAGTTAGTTAGTTAGTAGTTAGTTAGTTAGTTAGTTAGTTAGTTAGTTAGTTAGTTAGTTAGTTAGTTAGTTAGTTAGTTAGTTAGTTAGTTAGTTAGTTAGTTAGTTAGTTAGTTAGTTAGTTAGTTAGTTAGTTAGTAGTTAGTTAGTTAGTTAGTTAGTTAGTTAGTTAGTTAGTTAGTTAGTTAGTTAGTTAGTTAGTTAGTTAGTTAGTTAGTTAGTTAGTTAGTTAGTAGTTAGTTAGTTAGTTAGTTAGTTAGTTAGTAGTTAGTTAGTTAGTTAGTTAGTTAGTTAGTTAGTTAGTTAGTTAGTTAGTAGTTAGTTAGTTAGTTAGTTAGTTAGTTAGTAGTTAGTTAGTTAGTTAGTTAGTTAGTTAGTTAGTTAGTTAGTTAGTTAGTTAGTTAGTAGTTAGTAGTTAGTTAGTTAGTTAGTTAGTTAGTTAGTTAGTTAGTTAGTTAGTTAGTTAGTTAGTTAGTTAGTTAGTTAGTTAGTTAGTAGTTAGTAGTTAGTTAGTTAGTTAGTTAGTTAGTTAGTTAGTTAGTTAGTTAGTTAGTTAGTTAGTTAGTTAGTTAGTTAGTTAGTTAGTTAGTTAGTTAGTTAGTTAGTTAGTTAGTTAGTTAGTTAGTTAGTTAGTTAGTTAGTTAGTTAGTTAGTTAGTTAGTTAGTTAGTTAGTTAGTTAGTTAGTTAGTTAGTTAGTTAGTTAGTTAGTTAGTTAGTTAGTTAGTTAGTTAGTTAGTTAGTTAGTTAGTTAGTTAGTTAGTTAGTTAGTTAGTTAGTTAGTTAGTTAGTTAGTTAGTTAGTTAGTTAGTTAGTTAGTTAGTTAGTTAGTTAGTTAGTTAGTAGTTAGTTAGTTAGTTAGTTAGTTAGTTAGTTAGTAGTTAGTTAGTTAGTAGTTAGTTAGTTAGTTAGTTAGTTAGTTAGTTAGTAGTTAGTTAGTTAGTTAGTTCGTTGAACCCACGACCTCCGGTGTACCAGACATGAACACTAACTACTACTAACCTACTAAAGTGCATGGTTAAATCCAAATACATTTCGCTGTTAAGACTTGAAAATACTTATTAGCAAACATTTCAAAATAATATACATATTATTAATATGCGTTTATTACGAAATCTATATATTTATTTTCTTCTTTCTTTTCTTATTTTAAGACGAATTTATTATTAAACCTAATTATGTGAATGTTAGGAATTATTAGTAATAGTGGTTTGTATATGACTAACATTGACTATTTTAATATTTGCTGGTTATATATTGAATATTGAGTATCGATTATTAAATATTTTCACATCAAAAGGGAAAATAATAAGAGAAATATTATAATTTAATAGAACTAGTGTTTAGAAACAATAGTTTCTAGCAGAAATTATAACAGTATTAGAAATCATTTTAACACCACATCTTTAAAACATTTGTAAATATAACAAATTAATAATGAAACTATTTCAAGTGATATTCGCAATTGGCTGCATAATTGTCAGCGTTTTGGCAGCGCCTGGTCATGTGAGTTTTTTTATATTATAAAATTTAATTCAATTTCGTTTGCAATTACTATATTGTATTAAAAGATTCACTAGCTTTAAACAAACTTGCTAAGATTCAATTTGGTTTTTTCTTTTTCATTTAAATCTACGATTTTTAATTAAAATAATTTATTTCTTATTATCTGTTTATAATTTCAGAATATCGTAAAAGGCGATCACAATACTAATATTTCTCAAAGCAATAGCGATTTTGATCTTGGTATCGATTTTTCACTATAATTATAAAAATCATGAGAAAATTATAGAAAAGTAAATAAATAACTAAAATAATTATAAAAATATATTTACGTTTAAAGGTTAATTAAAAGTTTTCGATGTCATCATAAATACGGGTCTTCATTTTATATTTTTTCTAAGTTTCATTTAATCGGTTGAAAATCGATTTATTTATAATTTTAAGAAAATTTCCCAATATTGCATAGCTTGAGTTTGACCATCACAGTTTATGGGTTAAAATTATTCGATATTACTAAAACTTTAAATGTATATTTCCTATTATCTGAAATTTTATATTCTGAAAAGTTTTTATATAAAATACATAATAGGTAAAGTTTTTTCATCGTTGACCTGAGTAATTAGAGGGAACTAAGACGATATACAGTAAATCAATTATATGGGGGGTAGGACCAATTATAGACCGATCCTTATAAAATTTGAGAGAAACTTTAGTTATGTCGAATTTCGTTGCTATACTGACATTTTGAAACAAGTTATGAGCGTTTAGTAATTTTGAAAAGGGAGCCTTATATGGGGGGTTGGATCAATTATGGTCCGATTCTAATAAAAGCGGGGAGATTTAAGTTCGAATAAAACTTACTTATGATGACAGTACTGACAGTTTAAAAGAAGTTGGGAGCGTTAAAGTAATTTTCTGAGGGGGGCGTTATATGATCCTATCCATGCAAAATTAAGCGACGACATTTTAGTTCCCATAAAACCTGTTTATGAAGAATTTGGTTGCTATATTGGTATTATTAATTTGAAAAAAAAAAACAATAATTATAATTACAATGTGGTTTACTATGATTCTTAATTTCACCATAATTATTTATTTAAAGAAATTTATATTTGATCAAAGAAATATGCTTTCCAGAAACTGTATAAATAGACATGTCAAGGCAATGTCTGATACATTTGAAAATATAGCACTCCAGCCTAAAGTACACTTTATCAGAATGAAATTATTGCAAGTACTATTTGGAATTTCTTGCGTTATAGCCCTCGCTATGGCTGTTCCTGGTGATGTAAGTTTATATACTAGAAATAAAATGTCTGACTAAAAACGCCAATAAAGTATTAATTTCTTATTTTTTAATTTTATAGAATACAATTAAGGGAGATAACAATACTGGAAATGAACAGAGCAATCTAGATTTTAGTGCCAAATTATTTGGCTAATTTATTTATAATGTTTTATTATTCCAGAATCTCGACTTTGAGATCTTGTGATTTTCGGAATGCAAATAAATGAATTATAATTTACTTTTTCTGTATAAATATTTTTATTAAAATTTTAATACAGGGTTAAGGTCAAAAAAACTCTAAGCTGGGATCACTTTTATTTCCCACCAATAACTATTTTATTTATTGAAAATATGAAGCCCATTTTCTGGGGAAAAATAGAGGCGCTAGGGCCAAGAGCACACAAATCTTTGAACTCTTATATCTACTACCATAAATCGATATTTTTCATCGTTTCACTTAAGCAGAGGAAGCCAGTATGTCCACCACTTGGGAAACATATATTCCCCGCGGACCAAAAACAAGATAAGCGAATGTTTCCCTAAAGAGACATACACATATAGAGGTAAAAATAATAATATCGATGTTATAGTGCAAGGGTCTAAATAACACAGTACCGTTGGTAGTGTTGACCTGTTTGCGAGTCAAATGTCGTCGTCTTGAAATCGTGAACAAAAGGCTAAAGTACTTCCATGGCGGACAATCCGTCAAATGAACAGCATGCCATTTGTAAACATGTGTGGGTAAAATAGAAGGATATACTCGGAGGGAAGAGACGAAGTGCTTTACGTGAACAAATGCCGTGTTGGCCAGTACTTTTATAACCACTGGTTGATCGATTAGACGCAAGTGGCAATTTTTGAACACGGTTCAGACGATCCCTGTTAAGCACTTTTCTCAAGTACTCGAGCTATCTAATATCGGACCATTACAGGCCAGTTGCTTAACTTCCGAGATACAAAAACATCACTTCCGTTTGTCGGCAACAGCAACTAGAAACGTATTCAGTACAGCAAAACACAAATCCATTTAATAAGCCGAGGATTTTGTTTTACTCACAAAGAACACACAGTCTGGTATGAACAGAGTAAATCCTGAACAAACCTGGACAAAAAAGGAAATGTACGACTTGTATAAGATACCTTTCATTCATCACCATTCAATCCACTATACTTCTCATTCATTCGACACACTCACTCTAGGTATACGGGTGTTTAAGATCCGCATACCCCACATATATGCACTTAACAATAACTCATTTCCAACGCTTAGTCTCACAGTCACTCTTCTGCTGGGTATATGTTGTCTCGGCATCAGTTTTTTAACCGACATCTCTTCCGAATTTGTGTTTAAACCACAGCCACCACGTTCATCCCGAAGGGACCTATCCAATAACCGGTATAAGATAAAGTCCAAAACTCTGACTTGCGAGCTACCGGTTCTCGTAGTATCCCGTGTCAAATAATTCCAAGGAAAGGCCGAGTATACATATGATCATCACCACCAGCGGACTAAAGGTACTGGTAGCACCTCTTTCCCCCGGGATTGCAATAACACCAGTAGTACTCTGAGAGATCTCTAAGTTACTTCAGCCTTCAAATATAGGAGCTGACAACTGATAATTGATAAAAAACTGATAAATTTAAACCTAAGAAGTAGCCAAACCATATCTCACTCAAAGGAATCTTAAGTCAGAGTTCTACGAGTAAGGATGACAAAGCCAATAAGGGTATGAATGTCGCAAAAGCAGCCCCGCAAAACGAAGAAGAAGAAGCTAGATAATGAAAAAGGAAAAGAGTCGCCAACTTACGCCAAAGTTGCCAAGAGAAAGAGTCTTCTCTTGGCAACTTTGGCTATGCAACAACAATAAAATATTGAACACTTAATCGCTTCCAAGGGCTCAAACAACCAATAGAGAGCGTGAGCTGAGAGTTCAACTTGGGCATAATGTTGATGACATTGGTATCTCACCAATGTTCTGGCATCCTGAAGAACTTGCTGGGACTGGCAAATGTCTACCTAAAGGGATGCTAATGAGCGCATATTGGAAATTCATGGAAGTGTTTTCGTACTTAACGGATCCGTACTTTAATCAAGTATTTTGTACTTGATTTAAGGAAACCAGTACTTAATATAGTTCTCAAACCTTTCAGGAATGATTTGAGTACGGATTACTAAATTCTTTTTTTTAAGTATATGGAAACAAAATTTCAGATTTTGAAATCACGTCATTATAGGCTATAACTGAAGAGTATTTAAGAGGGTTCTATAAATCGACTTTCGAATAATCGAACAATCGACTTTTTGTCGAAAAAAGTCGAAAAGTCGAAGTCAACTATTTTGTTCCAAAAAGTCGATAACTCGAATATCGTCTGTGAAAAAAGTCGAAAAGTCGACTTTGTTAACAAAAGTCGAAAAGTCGGAAAAAGTCGAAAACTCGAAAATTGTAGAAAAAAGTCAAAAATAGTCGAAAATTTTAAAAAAGTGGAAAAAAATCGACTTTTCATAAAATGCAAAAAGTCGAAAAGTCGACTTTTAACTAAATGAAAAAAGTCGAAAAGTCGACTTTTCGTTTCAACTGTAGAAACCAAGTATTTAATATTCGCCAAAGCTGTATATAACACTCTGACATGTTTCTTCATACTGATTTGCGTAAAGTGGTCAAACTCAATTCATTCATCTTTTACTTACAATAATTTTTCGAGTGCAACGGAAAAAGTCGAAAACTCGAAAATTGTAGAAAAAAGTCAAAAATAGTCGAAAATTTTAAAAAAGTGAAAAAAAAAAATCGACTTTTCATAAAATGCAAAAAGTCGAAAAGTCGACTTTTAACTAAATGAAAAAAGTCGAAAAGTCGACTTTTCGTTTCAACTGTAGAAACCAAGTATTTAATATTCGCCAAAGCTGTATATAACACTCTGACATGTTTCTTCATACTGATTTGCGTAAAGTGGTCAAACTCAATTCATTCATCTTTTACTTACAATAATTTTTCGAGTGCAACAAAATGCATACGCATATTTAACACTTAATAAAGTAGTCATATGTAAATATTGACACAAATATACACTTGATGTTTACACAAATATATTGAATGAAGAATTAAATTGAGATAAAATTCTTAGAAAACTGACCACCGCACAATATTTAAATAGTATTTTAGTGCTGACAGCACCAAAGATGAAGCAGCAGTTGCAGCATCATAATCATCAATAAACGGAAGCTATACTCATGTACGTGCTACATAATGATGTTGCTGCATATGCATACAAATGTATGTAGTATTAGGTGGGCTTTCAGTTTATACATATTTTCCGTTCCCAGCCTTTGAAGAATATAGTTTTCAAATCAATTAATTCAATTCAAGAATTAACAAACTTAATTTAAGAATTGATTATATCGTCTAGCAATTCCTCCTCGAGAAACTTTGAATCGGTTTTGGGATAAAGTTATATATCAGAAGTATATTATTAAATAAAATTCGACCCGATTTTGGACCCAATCCCCATATAAAGTCCTTTTCAAAAAATTTATTTAATATTTAAAAAATATTTTTCCATTTCACTGATTCTGAAGGTTCTCTACTCTGGACGCAATCGTGTTCACACAGATCGTAGAACTCTACGATAAATTGCAAAATAAAAACCACCCTAATGTTCGTATTTTTTGTATTTAGTATAGATTTAAAACAAACAAAATATGTCATAATGACAGGTTTTCTAATAGACTCGGAAGCCGTTTAAACAAACTTACAAGTGCCGAACCATAATTTACCTAAACAGTAGATGAACAGATGCATTAACGTACTAGTAAGTGGCAATAATGATTACTGGTGGGAATGATGAATGTTTGTTTGATGTAGATAATGATGAGTAGCTGGCTGATGCTGCGATGCTGATGAGATTTCAAGTGCAAATAATGCATTTAAATGTTTATTATTGTCACCCTTAAGGCGGTATACACTACCTGTTGACTTTGATCTATGACTGTGTGAGAGTGTGTATTCGTATTCTAGATTGTGTGCATACATCCATACGCCTCTATTAATATCTTAATCCGTACTGTCCACAAAACATCACCTTAACTCATGCATCTTACAGTATGCAGATGAGTTTGCTGTTAGTGAATCGCTTATGTGTAAATGTTTATTTGTTTGTCACTTTGTGCTGCCAACTCTAATTATAATTCAACCGTAACGTTAATCACCTTTGAAAATGAGCCGCTTCTAAAGAGAAACCGCCCGCCCCATTATGTTTAAAAAAAAGCAGTATTAAACCGTTTTTGTTGGTTTCCTTTAAAATTGTAATTGATTGCCGCCATTTTTTGAAGTGTCTCTTCAAAGAGTTCAACATTATAGTTTAATAGTGTTTTGTTTTTCTATTTTCTTTATTTTGTTAAAAGATAATGGTTTGATTTGATTAGTGTTTTTATTTGTTTAGACAAACGTAGTTAAATGATCATTGTTTAATTAAATTTTGTCTTTGTTGTTTTATTGGTTTAGTTATTGCGTTTAAGTGAAATCAATATTAACGTTGATTTATAATTGTCAATTATGGATTTTATCACTTAAAACCTTAAAGTCATATTAATATAAATTAATTTTCTAATCTTGTAAAGTATTATTACTATAGTCTAGCAGAATTTTTATTAAATTGGTGTTCTTTGTTGTACCGCACTGGTTAGGCTTTAGATTAAAAGTATTAAATGAAAGAATAAAAGAGTTAGATGTTATTAGAATTAGATACCGCTTTGTAAAGTGAAATCACCGAAGAGGCCAATGAGAAGAGTTGGAGAAATATTTTCTATTTAAAAGGTCCTTGATGTTATTTCAAATCATCGAAAACTACATGGGGCATAAGTTACTATTAAGTATTCAGATAAAGTTTTGGAAAAATTGGACCTAAGTACATTGAGTCTATGACCTTTACAAGATCTTGTTTAGGAAATTACTTTAACTTGCTTAAAAAGAGCGATGAAATTCTATATGCATACTTTCTTAGGAATCCACCCCATTTATAAGATCCCATTCAGAAAATGGTTGTTACACACACCGCTGGCTTGAGCGATGAAATCCTCCTCCAAAGAAATATGATTAAAATATTTTAGGTTTAAGATTCATCTTTCTAACGAACGAACGAAAACGAACGAACGAAACGAAAACGAACGAACGAACGAAACGAACGAAGAACGAACGACGAAGAACGACGAACGAACGAACGAACGAACGAACGAACGAAACGAACGAACGAACGAAG